ATTTGAAAGTCCACAAACGATAAATGCTGGAGAGGGTGTGGAGAAAAGGGAACCCTCCTGCTTTGTTGGTGGGAATGTAAATTGGTGCAGCCACTATGGAGAACAATATGGAGATTCCTTAAAAAACTAAAAATAAACTCACCATATGATCCAGCAATCCCAATCCTGGGTATATATCCAGAGAAAAATATAATTTGAAAAGACACATGCACCCCAATGTTCACAGCAACACTATTTACAATAGCCAAGACATGGAAACAACCTAAATGCCCATTGACAGGTGACTGGGTAAAGAAGCTGTGGTATATTTATACGATGGAATACTACTCAGCCATAGAAAAAAATAAAATAATGCCATTTGCAGCAACATGGATGGGCCTGGAGATCGTCATTCTAAGTGAAGTAAGCCAGAAAGAGAAAAGAAGAATGCCATAATTTTCCTTATATGTGGAATCTTTTTGTTTTTTTTTAAAAAAAGGACACAAATGAACTATTTACAAAACAGAAAGACCCACAGTTGTAGAGAACAAACTTAAGGTTACCAGGGGTAAAGCGGGTGGGAACAGATAAACTGGAAGTTCGAAAGCTTCACAGGTGTATACATCTATTAAAATCCATCAAATTGTACATCTGAAATATCTGTAGTTTACTGTATAGAACTGTTACAGCAAATAGGAAACACACATCATATGCCCATCTCTGGCCACCATGGGTTTGGCCAAGACTCCACTGCTGGGTCTCCCTACTGTGCGCACGCTCTCTCAGCACCTGCTTTCTTCCTCCTTGGTGGTGCAAAGCATCTAGGGCAGATGTATTTTCTACTCACCTTGAGTGAGACAAGCTTTACTTTACACCAAAGGAAGAAGGCATATAGGAGACCCCTCTTAAAAGCCAGGGACAAAACAGTGCCTATCTCCCAGTGCCCAGTGCTCCCAGAAATGAGCAAATCTCTCCCCCTTCCCACCAACCTCCAGGAGTGGCCCTGCTTGGGACTCATGCCCCTGAGGGCTCTTCTCAAGACAATTTGATCTTGAGCTCAACCAGCTAAAACCAAAATTTGCGAGTGAAATAAATGTGTCCTCAACTTAGAAGCCTGGGTCGTTATTAGGCCCAAGAGTAAAGCTTTATTTGTTTACAGTTGACTTTTGGATTCTGCAGCTGGGCTGTGTCCAGTGCAGTATTTGCTTATATTTTGCAACAAGTTTAAAACTGCAGGACATCTTTTCTAAGGCTTTGTTTTAAACTGGATGCATAAAAATAAAAAAGAGCAATGGGATTTTAATTTGCTGAGAAGGAAGGCTGTTTGTCCGTGTTGATGACTTTGTGGCATAGCTCTTTTTGTACTTTGTTTCTCCCTTTTTGTACTTTTCAATTTTTTTAAATTTAATTTTAATTTGGGGGTGGGATTAGATTGATTGATGGATGGATGGATTGCTTTTTAGAGGAGATACTGGGGATTGAACCCAGGACCTGTGTGTGCTAAGCTCTACCACTTCAGCTATATACCTTCCCCCTCTCTTTTTGTACTCTTAATCCTTTTTTTATTTCTTGGAAATTATGGCCCATCCTCCTGCTCCTGGAGCCTTCACTCTCCATTCCTATCCCCTTCTTTTCGCTCTCTCTGGGCCCTGAAGCCTCCTGATCAAACGGAAGAAGTTTCCTTTCACCACAAAGAATTACTGGGGAGTAGTGGAGTCTTCGGCGGCAGGAGGGCCTGGGACACAGGATAACATAGACAGGATTGCATTGTAGGGGCTGTTCGTAGCACGCTTCACTCTTTGATCAATTCTTAAATCCAGCCACACTCTGAAAACTGGACTTGAGCTTCGCCTACTATGTTTTTTAACTTTGGTCAGCTGGGCTCTGTGAGCCGTCAGCTCAGTCTAAAGAAGATGTGATTCTGAAAACTCAGAGCCAGCCCCCGGATTAACAGCTAACCCTGGCATGTGTCTGGCTATTTATAACACAAAGAAGAAGTAAGCCCCAGGTGATGCCAAGGCCTGGAACGGAGCAGCCAGGCAAGTTGTGGGGTGAAGGCGATAACCTCGGGCCACCCAAGACCCATGGACAGTGGCTCTGGCTGGCTGCGGCCACCTGCTTATTTACTTTGCAGAAGGTTTAGCTGCAAATGATGCTGAGCCACATGCTTGGACTGAGTCAAGAATCTCATTTTTGTAAGATAATAACACATGTAAAGTGTCCGTGGATGCTTCTAGTAAATATTATTAGTGTTTATTCTATCAGACTTTCAAAGTCACTGGTGATACAGCTGAGCAAAACCAGCAGTCAGTTCTTCCAGATGGTACCTAGTGGTAGGTTAAGGCTGCAGCTGGTACTGACGTGGAACTCATGGGAAAGACAGATTAAGGCCACCCTAGGTCCCTCCATTGAATAATGTGGTGTGAATACGAGTGGCTGAAAGATAGCCCGAAACTATGGATGGACCAGCCTGTCAAAACAATCAGCCTGCGGTGGAAGGTCTGGGGAAGAACTGTGCCTCAAACTCCTACCTTTTCAGCAAGTTTGATATGACCCTTTGACACTGCCTGTGTTCCAACCCCTGGAGGGTCAAACTCATCTGGGCCTCAGTTTCCTCACCTGCAATATAGGTATAACATTATTGTTATCCTTTTGTCATAGAAGACTGGGATATTCTCTGGGGGTAATTCTTTATGCTGTAAAGTCTATATAAAATGTCTGATACATTGGAAGTGCTCAAAAATTTTGGTAGTTATTGGTGGATTATAAATATTGAGGGAGTGTCTAAGGCCAATAATATACCATGCAGCTTAAAGGGGGCGCCCAGAGTGGGAAGAGCCAGCATGACCTGAAGAAGTTGGGGCTGTGGCCCTGCAGGAGATCTGGGCAGAGGGGAAAGTCATGGACCTGGGTGACACTTCATAATTCCGGCCTGACCAGAACCCCCTACCTTGACAGTGTGGTTATTATTAGGATGAGAAGGGGGCTCAGTGGGCTGAAGTCAAAATTCCAACTCCTCACACAGGCCTGCCCCTGTTGATTTTGCTACTGGTGACCCATTCTGGGTGCAGAAAAATACAGTGGTAGGGATAATAGCTGTTAGCAATCTCCTAGACCCATTCGACTCTGTAGTGTCTTACCAGATCAGACTCAGAAGCTACGTTTAATTGTGACCCAAAGAATCGCTATTGATCCCAAGCATGTGAGCAAGTGGCAAAGCTCTGCCTTAGAGCTTGGGGCCCTTTAAGCAGGAGGCTGCGGTTATATTTCTGATGTTTTATTTCTTGAGCTCAGTGGTAGCACACAGGTGTTCCCTGTAGCATTCCTTATGCCTTGTTGCATATCAGGAATATTTGTTAATGATTTTTTAAAGGGCAACATAGGCCCCATCCCACCAGCAAAGAGCAGTCAGTTCTTGATTACATAACCCGGCAGAAAGGAACAGAGATGCAGTAAGAGGGAACGCCACAAGCAGCAGACTGGCATGCCAGTGGTTTGTTCAGACTAGTTTTAAAACATTCCCTGAACAACTATAAGGGAGGCAGTCCGCCCTGAGCATGATGGATGGTGAGAGGAGGCCATCCAAGAATTAACATTTTAACCCAGATGATCCCGAGCGTGAATGAGCAGATGGTACAAAGCTCAGTTTGAGGAGCCGTGTGTGCTCACTCAGTTAGGCCAACAGGCTTCTGGGGGTCGCGGACCTGCAGAATGAGTGACCTGTGGAACTGAATCCATCCACGGGGCCCCTCTGAGCAGTGAGCCCCACACAGTGGGGCGTCCTATACGAACGTGCAGGGGGTGAGGTGAAGAGCCGGGAGGAGGTGGGAGGGGCTTCAGCACCATCCGGGATACTCAGTACCTGCTTAATAACTACTCGTGGAATTGAATTCAGGAAAATCAAAGAGAACAAAAAATGGAAATGCAGATCTTTGCCAAGTGCTTTCTGGCAGTTCAAAACACCTTTGCGCTCTAAGGGAGAGTGACAAGGATTAATTATATCACATTGGCTTTATGCTTCTGAGGCCACTTTACCCTGGAAGCTCCTTTTTGCTCCTCACCCCCGCCCTGCTCAGGTTGAGCAATTCTCTGTGGTGGTGCAGGATATAATTCTGCCATTTACTATCAAGATATTGCATCTGACAATGAAGGTTTTAGTCTGTGATAGTCTGAGAAAAGACTCAAGAGATGCCAAATATTAATATCCATCCTTGAGAAAGAGAGGAATGCCAATTACAGCAAAGTTGTGTTGGTTCACCAGTCTACTGATGCCAGAGCCCATGGTCCTTCCCTTCGCATCTGAAAGGACATGACTCAGTCCTCAGTCAAAGGTCACATCTGTTCTCCCTATTGTTAGCGCACCTTACTTTCTGAAGTAATTGTGTAGCTGCTGTAATTAGGGGCCATACATTCTCTCTGAGAAATTGGGGCAATCCAGCCTTCACAGGAACAAGTTGATCTGCTCATCATGGTCCACATGTGAAATAATAAGCTTCCTTAGTTTCTTGGTGAAATCACAGCCACTATTTGAACTTATAAACACCATCTGCTTCTTACGTGTTGAACAGCGAAAGATCAAACTCAGACTATTGCCAGGAGCATGAAAGAATAATTGGCAAACTCCTGTGTCATCATATACAGTTTCATAGATTTCTTTTCAAAAGCACTTTAAAAAAAAACTTCACAAACAGACAAAACCATATTCCCTGATGACTGTCCTTTGATACATGGATGTTTCCTGAAGTTTTAGGCTGGGCCCTGAGCTGTTCTGTGATGTCATGGACACAGACAGCCCCTTGGAAGCTCAGGGTCTACTCCTCTGCAATCAGGTGAAACCCTCCTGGTGAAACCTACTGGACAACCAAGGAGGCCCAGGGTCTAATACACTTGAGCTTCTAGACACTGTACAGTTGGACGCTGACCGGGGTAGGGTGTCCAGACATTCCTATTCTGAGACACTTTGAGGTCAAGCAATATTTACAAGCAAGAAAACTGAGGTTCAGAAAGATTAACTGACTTACCCATAGTCCGGTGGAAAGACCTTCAGGGATAGCTCCACCCTGGACACCATGTTTCTTTTTGTTTTTTATAAAAATTTTCCTAAGAGAGAAAGAGAAAAAGACAAACAGATGTCATTCCCAGCTTCGTAGACAGACACCCCACATAAATAGACCACAGAGGAGGAGCACAGGTGATTTAGAACCCAGCTCCCTTGACAAAGGGATGGGTCCCAGAGCTGGTTTTGTCTGTTCACCAGCATCCCGCCCAGCATCCTTCTGCCCCTGCAGGTGGACCACGCTGACTGGAGCACTCCACTCTTGTCAGAAGGTGGCTCTGTAGCTGTCCTGCGATTTCAGGGAGTTGGAAAGAATAGTATTCTGCCTCCTAGGCACAGGTTAGGGGCCAGCCAGCCCACAAACTCCCCTGTGTGCTCTGGTGTCCTAGGTCTCCAGCTCAGAGAAGGCCAGAAAGGGTGATTCTGGGAGCCAAGGAAATGCCGTGAAGTCAGGGTGAAGAGTGGGCTTAAGTGTCCCCTGTTCTTAAGTGAATGAGAGAAGCCTGAGCTGTGGCTTCTACACAGGGGCCACTGATCTGGATGCAGAGGGAGCAGCCATCCTTGGCAGAGGCTTTTCTGGGTGGCAGTTCTGGGGTTGGAGCCTGGGCTCCAGTGGGGTGCTGGGTCAGGAATTTTAGAGGTGGACATCCTCTCAGTGACCATCTAATTCAAATCTGATCATGCCACGTTCCCACTGAAACCCCTCTGTGGCTCCCAACTACTTCCCGAGAGAAGCCCCAGAGCCCTGTGGGGTGCTCCTCATGGTGGGCCAGGCCCTGGGCCCCGGCACTCCTTGCCCTTCCCACTCTTTCCCCAGCACCCCCAACCCCCTCCTGACAGATCTTCACTGTAGTTCACCTGTCAGGATGCTTCCCTATTCTCCGCTCTCAGCCCAAGGCCTTCAGATCACTGTCTCCTTATGGAGACTTCCCAGACCCCATGCTAGGTTGAAGAGCCCAGTTCAGCACCCAATCTAATGAATGTATCCCTTCCCCATTGGTTCCCCACTGCAGCTCCCCACTGCATGTCGCCAGCATCTGGCTTTGTCCCAGGCGCCACACTCAGTGAGCTGGAAGGAAATGACCGTCTGGGGCAGGGAGGCACAGCGCAGGGAGGGATGGAGATGGAGCCCTGTGCTCCAGTCTCACCTCCAGCTCTTACTTCCAGACTACAGATGTGTCCTTTTGATGCCCTGATCTGGTTTCCTTCTCTGTGCTCTTTGATCCTCTGCTCTCTGAGGACTTCCCTCTGGCCCTAATATTCTTAACAGTCATGAATTCGGCCATGAATTTGTTTAGTCCTGGTCTTGGAAAATCATGTCAGGGAAGTTTCTCCTAGGCGCCCTCCTCCCCACCCTCTCCCCCTCCAGGGAGGCAGGTCCTCTACTCTTTTCTCCATCCCTTGCTTCCCTCACAGCCCACCTGAGGCACCTTGCTCTGCTGGGAACAATTCCCTGCCAACTGCAAGCGAAAGGGAGATAAGAAGTTAATCTGAGCTAGGTGATCATAGCTTCATGTATTATCTCAGACAGGCAGGCATGTTACAGGGCACCTGCCCAAGGCAAGAATGTCTAAGGACAGTGGGAGAGGAAGGGCAGGGCCTTTGGGTACAAGCCTTTCTGGGAGCCCTTCAAACAGCCACTGGGGTTATTATTTGCCTGGATGACTTGATTATTTATGCAACAGAAATGTTTGAGACCCCACATGTAAAAGCCAGCCTATAACTGGTTTGTTAATGTGGTGAAGGTTCCCGAGGCCTTGGCTGTTGCTAGAAGTTCTAGAAACATACAGTTTGTCACGACTGAGTTAAGAAAAAACAGATAATTTGAACAGATTGATCACTAGAAGTAAAATAGAATCTGTGTTGTAAAAAAAACCTCCCTGCAATCAAAAATCCAATGTGATACACCACATTAACAAAAGGAAAGAGAAAAACCACAATCAATCATCTCAAAGATGCAGAAAAAGCATTTGATAAAATTCAACATCCATTCATGATAAAACTCTCACCGAAGTGGGTACAGAGAGAACACATTTCAACATAATAAAGTCCATGTATAACAAATTCACAGCCAACATAATAGTCAACAGAGAAAAGCTGAAAGCCTTCCCACTGAATTCAGGAACAAGACAAGGATGCCCACTCTCACTACTCTATTCAACATAGTATTGGAAGTCTTAGCTACAGCAATCAGACAAGAAAAAGAAATAAGAGGTATCCAAATTGGAAAGGGGGAGGTAAAACTGTCACTTTATGCAGATGACATGACATTCTATATAGAGAACCCTAAAGTCGCCACACAGAAACTATTAGAATGAATAAATGATTTCAGCAAGGCAGCAGGATACAAAACTAATATACAGAACTCTGTTGTACTTCTTTATACTAATAATGAAATATCAAAAAAAGAAAAATTTTAAAAATCCCATTTAAAATCACATCAAAAAATAAAATGCCTAGGGATAAACTTAACCAAGGAGGTAAAAGACCTATATGCTGAAAACTATAGAACACTGACAAAGGAAATTGAAGATGATTCAAAGAAATGGAAAGATATCCTGTGCTTTTGGATTGTTAGAATTAATATTGTTAAAATGACTATACTACCCAAAGCAATCTACAGATTTAATGCAATCCCTATTGAAATATACATGGACATTTTTCACAGAACTAGAACAAATAATCCTAAAATTTATATGGAATCACAAAAGACCCAGAATTCAAAGCAATCCAGGAGGTATAACTCTTACAGACTTCAGACTATACTACAAAGCTAGAGTAATCAAAACAGTGTGTGTTGGCACAAAAATAGACATACAGATCAATGGAACAAAATAGAAAGCCCAGAAATAAACCTATCTACCTACAATCACTTACTTTATGGCAAAGCAGGCAAGAATTACAATGAAGAAAAGACAGTTTCTTCTAATGGTGTTGAGAAAGCTGGACAGTTACATATAAATCAATGAAATTAGACCATTCCCTCCCACCATATACAAAAATGAATGCAAAATGGTTTAAAGACCTAAATGTAAGACATGATACCATAAAACTTGAAAAGAACAATATGTGAAACATTCTATGACATAAACTATGGCAATATTTTCTTAGATCAGTCTCCCAAAGCAAAAGAAATAAAAGCAAAAATAAACAAATGGGACCTAATCAAACTTAAAAGTTTTTGCACCACAGAGGAAACCATCAACAAAACAAAAAGACAGCTTATGGAATGGGAGAAAATATTTGCAAACAGTGCAACCCACAGAGGGTTAATATCCAAAATATACAAAGCAGCTCATATAACTCAATATTGAAAAAAACAAACAACCCAACGAAAAAATGGGCAGAAGACCTAAATAGACATTTTCCCAAAGACATACAGATGGCCAACAGGCAGATGAAAAGATGCTCAGCATCACTAAGTATCAGAGAAATGCAAATCAAAGCCACAATGAGGTATCACCTCACACCAGTCAGAATGGCTATCACCAAAATGTCTACAAATAGTAAATGCTGGAGAGGCTGTAGAGAAAAGGGAACCCTCCTACATTGTCGGTGGGAATATAAATTGGTACATCCACTATGGAGGACACTATGGAGGTTCCTTTAAAAACTAGAAATAGTGATACCACATGATCCAGCCCCACTCCTGGGTATATATCTGGAAAAAATGAAAACTCTAATTCGAAAAGATACATGCACCCCAATGTTTACAGCAGCACAGTCTGCAATAGCCAAGACATGGAAGCAACCTAAGTGTCTATCAACAGCTGAATGTATAAAGAAGACGTGATATATGTAGTGTGTGTATATATATATATATATATATATATATATATATATATATAATGGAATACTACTCAGCCATAAAAAGAATGAAATAATGCCATTTGTAGCAACATGAACTGTCCTAGATAATATTATGCTCAGTGAAATAAGTCAGAGAAAGAAATACTATATAGTACCACCTATATGTGGAATCTAAGAAATAATGCTGATGAATTTATATACAAAACAGAAACAGACTCACAGATATTGAAAACAAACTTATGGTTACCAAAGGGAAGAGGGAGGAAGGGATGGACAAATTAGGAGTATGGAATAAACAGATAAAAACTAACTTTACTATACATAAAATAAATAAGCAACAAGCATTTACTGTATAGCACAGGGAATTATATCCAATATCTTAAAACAACCTATAATGGACTATAATCTGCCAAAAAAAAAACCCGAAACCTGAATCACTATGCTCATAAGCAATATTGTAAAAGGAAGGAAGGGAGGGAGGAAGGAAGGAAGAAAAAAGAAAATCCACACTAGTTAAATAGTACTTTAGGTGAAGGACTTAACCTAAAGTACTATATAACTTGGGACTAGAGGTGGGGGAGCACCCTTAAGGCTCCACAACAGAACCGGAGAGATTGCCTATGCAGAGGCTGGGAAAGTCTAACCTTCTGACCTCCCTTCAACAAAGGAAAAGCTTCACATTCTTCAATGAAAAGCTCAGAAAGCAGCAAAGGGAAAGCAGCCAGACTTACAGGAAAACCCCCCAGCCCATTCATGATTCCTCTGACCCTCTGGAAGCCCTGTGAGGAGCTGGCAGACGCTCTGACCTGCTCGGTGACTCACTTCCTTCCGCACAACTTGTGACTCGGTCTGCAGGACAATGGTGCAGCGGTACCTCTCCCCTATCAAAAATGCCATTTCTTCTACCTGGGCACCTGCATCCTCTTCTAGCCCTGCCAGTGCCCAGCCCTGCTTCGGGAAGCATCATCCATCAGTCCTGTTCACCATTATAAGCCACAGAAACCAATGCTGGCTGATTTAGGCACTAATGGAATTAAATCTCAGGTGGTTCACAATCTCTGGGAGGATGAGGACCAGGCTGGAAATCTGAGCGGCCAGCAGCAGAGGCTGGAAATCCTCTTCAGGACTGGTCTGGCAAGGAGAGAAAGCACTGCCGCCCCTGCTGCGTGTGGGTTCGCAGGCGCGCCTGGACCAACTCCACCCACAGCTGCCAGAACAACCTTGACTGTGTCGGAGGCCACTGCCCCTGGACTCTGTCTGCCTGGCAGAGTTGAGGTTACCCACATTCACTGTAGCCACAAGGGAGTCTGGCACAGTGAGCGCCTGGCATTTTCAGCCTCTCCAGTGGGAGAAAGCTTCTGCCTCACCAGGCGGGGGACTGCCCAAATACGGGAAAGGAGATAAAGATCCTAGGTAGCCACGAGGCATGAAGAATGGCTGTTCTGCCTCCCACAACTAAAGGCAGCTAGTAATTACACTCTTTTTGCTCCTTGCCTTCCCTGACCAGCACAATCTGAGTTTGATAACAGTCACTCAGGTAAAGCACCGATAAGAACTTTTTTCTTGTGATGAGAACTATTAAGATTTACTCTTTTGGCCACTTTCAAATATACAATATTAACTATAGTCACCATGCCATATATTACACCTCATGACTTATTTACTTTATAACTGGAAATCTGTACCTTTTGACACCCTTTCGCATTTTGCCCAACCCCTACCCCTGGCCTCTGGCAACCACCGGTCTGTTCCGTGTATCTATGAACTTCATTTTGTGTTAAGAGTCCACATAAAGTGAGATCATATGGTATGTCTGACTTACCTCATTTAGCATAATGCCCTCCAAGTGCATTCATGGTGTTGTAAATGGCAAGATTTTGGGTTTTTTTTATGGCTAAGATATATACATATACATATATATATATAATATAGCATAATACACACATAATCTCTCAGATTTCCTTATTTTCTTTATCCATTCATCTGTCTGTGGACACTGAGGCCATTACCATGTCTTGAGTATTATTGTAAATAATGCTGCAGTGAACATGGGGTGCATATCATTCTGAATTTGTGTTTTCGTTTTCTTCAGATAAACACCTTGAAGTCAAATTACTGGGTCATATCATTGTATATCTTAAAAAAGAAATCTGGGTGGGGTGAGGACAGGTGTAACATCTGTCATGATCCCTCAGCAACAGATTCAAACCACCCATTCCCACTACAGTTCATCAGAAAATAAAATAACGTCCTCGAATAGACAGTGCTGTCAGCATCCTTCTGCGACCACAGACTATTCTGGGTAGTATTTTGAAAATGAAACTGATTTATTAAAAGCTTGCAAGATCAGGCGAAAGGCCTGAGGTTGACTTGACTGTCTTGCTGTGGGGAGAGCCCTGGGCTGTGACCCAAGGTCATGACGGTGAGTCCCCTGGGGATGCAGCCATGGCCTGAAGGCTTAGTTCTCTTGTTCTCACTATCCCACTAACTGGCCACATAACCCTGGGTGGGTCACTTGGGTCTCCGTTTGTAAAACAAAGCTGAACCGCTAAATAGTCTTTGGGTAGCAAATCTAGGAATCCACATGGGTCAGCCAGGAGGGGTGTTTGTTATCAGAGAATACAGGCTGGGGATCACCTGCTACCTGAGGGCTGGAAGGCAGCAGGGCCTCAGATAGGTTGGGAAGAGATTTTTTCATCAGCTAATATTTACTGAGCTATCACTGTATGTGCCAGACCATGTTCAAGGCCCTGGAGATCAGTGATGAACAAACCCACAAGATCTCTGCTCTCAAGGAGCTTAGAATGAACCAGGAAGCAAATGAATAGATGTGACAACACTTAAGATGACACATGCCACGAAGACACTAGAGCAGGCTAATGTGATAGATGTGGCTGGACGAGGGGCCACTTCAGCATGCCATGCTCTGAGGATGTGGTATTTAAGGACATTCCTGACTGTCAGGAATGAAGCGGCATGGGAATGATAAGGGGCAAGAGTTCCAGGCAGAGGAAACAGCCTGCACAAATCTCAAGTGGGCCTGTGCTATGTCTGCTTGAAGACCAATGTGCCCAGGGTCCCATGAGCCAGAGCCAGAGCCTGAGTTAAGTCTGAGAGAGGCATGGGCTGTAAGTGCAGGGCCTGGAGGGCATCTTGGAATGGACTCTCTTTCTACCTCCCACCTCTGGGCCTTTGTGTCTGCCTCACCCCTCTTCCTTCTGTAGACTGGTTTCCTCTGCTCTCCAGGCCATATGGCAGATCAAGACTGCCCTTGGGTACCAAGTTCACCCTTAGAGTCTAGTCACTCAGAAAAACCATCTCAGTCACATGAAAGGACAATCACACGTGTGTCTCTGGTCCAATGACTTGTAGTCAAAACCACTGCGGCTGCTCTGAGACCTAGTCAGAAGCCCAGGAGTTTCATGGTGAGAATAGGGCAGGCATTCCAAAATTATCTACCCCAGAAGGACTGGACCACATGGGCCCTGCCTAGCTGTAGGACTCTGAAAGTCAGGAGTAAATGGACTGCAGAGTAACTCTGGGTTGTTCTGAAGCAGTCTCAAGGGTCAGGAGGAGTTGATTTAAATCAGTTCTCAAACTTGAGAGTGCATTAGAACCACCTGGAGGACTTGTTAAAACACACCCTGCCTCAGAGTTTCGAATTCAGAAGGTCTGGAGGAGCACAATCTGAGAATCTGCATCTGTAACAAGCTCTGACCATGCTTTAAATGCTTTGGTTTCCAAAGTGGGGTCCACAGCCCTGGCCCTACCAGTTTCTTCAACCTGCAGGATCCAGAGTCAGGACTGGAGTCAAGAAGTGGGGCCCAGTGTGTGCGACCAGCATTGTGGATCCCTCTGTGCACCACGGTTTGAGAATCACAGTTTTTAAATGTTTCAAAACGTCGGAAATGCCTTTGTTCCCAACCTTGAGTATCACCATGGGGAAATAAAAGGTGACCAGCCAAGGGACGTTTGCTCAGTGCCCTTCAATGGTTAAAGTGGTTAATCAGTGTGTTTGGATTAAAACAAAACAAAACAAAACAAAAAACAAACCCTCCACTTTACCAAAGAAAATGCAGGTTACCTCAGGATAAGTAAATCCGGCCTTTGGGGTAGGTAAGAGCTCTTTTTCCGAGCATTTTCATTTCTGTCTGCAAGAAGAGACCGTCTCGTGGTTTGCTGCTCAGGGTGAATAAAAGCTGGGAGAAAGTTTGGAGACCTGTCGTGCGAGCCCTGGATCCCAGGGTCCCGGGCTGCCACTGGCCGACCCGCCCTGCAGTCTGCGCCGAAGCCTCGTGGGGGATCCGCCAATGAAGCGCCGAGGAACTCCATGACCTCATCGAGAGACTCTCTCATTGGCTGTCTTCACTTCGCTGGGCCCGCCCCTTCTATTAGAGCTCTGGAAAGCTGCGCGGACCCCGCCCCTAGGCTGAAGACGGATTGAGTTCTTAACCTGGTCAGCGAGCCTTTCGGGCTTCTTTTCAAACAGATTCCTCAGAAGAAAAATTCTGCCTTCTGACAGACTTGAGTGTCTTTCAACTAGCCAAAGTACTGGTTTTTCTGCTCTGACCTTTGACTGCTATGTTACGGCGGTTTAGCTGGTGTCGTCAGCCTTTCCTCGGTACCTAGCAGATCACAGTTATTTCTCACTTATTTTAAGCATGTATTTTAACGAGTTTTGTCTTGCTTCTCAGTGAGTGAATTTCTCAAGCCGGACCTTACCGTGGAATGCTAGTGATCATCTGTCCCACTTTAACCTGGGAATGAACTGGCTGGCGCCCAGAGAGGGGATATGACTTTCACAAGGTCACACAGCTGGTTAGTTACAGAGGTAAGAGTCGGATCCAGGGCTCCTAACTCCAACTTTAGTGTTGCACGCACACACACACACACACACACACACCCCAATCTGCTGCCTGAGAGCTCAGAGCAGCATTGCAGTTTAGGAACCTCTACCTGAAGGAGAACCCACATACCAATAAGGGATAATCCAGGTTTCCTCACATTTTAGCAGCTGCCTAACTCTCATTTTGACAGGGTAGAATCATGGACGTCAATCTCCTAGAGCAGCTCTTAGCTTACAAATGAGGAAACTGATGGGATCACAAAACAGGTGGTGGTGGGTAGAGGCAGGACTTGACCCAGGCCTTTTGCTCTTTCGTCCAGTGATGAGCCCCAAATGTCAGAAAGACTGGAAAGCCCACAAGTCCTCAGGAAAAGTTCCCTGCAGTCAGCATGGTTTCAGTACTGAAACCATCTGTTTTGGGAGTGAGAAAACAATCGGAAGTGCTTGCTTCTCTGGTTGGCCAGCAGCTCAGATGAGCCCTCTTCCCCAAGTTCTGTGACTAACAGGTGCTTTGCGACAGAAATGGAGACCAAGTTGTGGACTTTTTCTCATCTGACCTTGGTGATCAGGGGCTGTGACCCAGTTCTGGGTCAAGGATTTTTGAAAACTCAGGACCACTCTGTTAGATGGGGAGATTTGGTGAACAGACTACCCTGAGATCCTTTTTGAAGGCTTGGCTCAGGGTTTACCTCCTCCAACAAGGCTTCCTAAAACCCCCAGGTGGGCCAAGGTCTCCTGCAGTCCCCAGTCATCTGAGTCCAATTGTAGAGCTATTGTTCACTTCTTTGTCCCTTTTCCCAACTAGACAATGAATTCCTGAGCGATGGCACACACTTCGTACAATTTTGTATCCTCAGGGCCTAACACTGACACATAAATGACAAATGTTTGTTGAACTGTAGAAACCTTGCATGCTAGGCCCCTTGTGCAGGGGATGATCACTCACAATTCTTAACAGAGGCAGATTTTGTGTCTATGAGGCTGCCCCACACAGAATGAGAATTAGCTCCTTTTTATTAGTAAAGTGTTTGAAATGAAAACTTCACAACTGTTTGTAATACACCTCTGTAAGAACAACCAGATCCCTTGTGCTTACCTAATTCCTGACTGTCCTTTAAAACTCCAGATGTGAGAATTTCATTATTCAAATCAAACCACTGCATTTTTTTTTCTTCTTTGCCTGGTCTGCTGGGAAGCTCAAAAATCACTCTAGCCACACTCTTAGGAACAATCTCCTCCCTGGTGACAGGTATAGTGTTCTCCCTTGTATCCACATAGCATCTGATCTTTACTTTTTCATTTTCAGATATAATATGTTAAAAGAAGTCCACTCCTTGCCTTTCTGGAAGAAGGTAGGACAGGTGATATATAGGGTAACAGGAAAGTGTCCCCAGAACTCTGAGTGTGAAAGAAAAAACACTCATGAAGATAAGTGATTTCTATCACACAAACAAAAAACCAACTTGATTATTTTTATGGTGTCCAAAGTCTATGCAAGTTCACCGTGAATGGAGATGAAAGGTGAAAATTCAGAGTTGGTCCAGTCTCATCCTGGACAGGGGGACAGAACTCTGAGACTTATGGATATTCTCAGGCCTGGAGAGGGAGGCTTAGAAATGGTACCAAGATGGCTCACAGAGCTTTTCCAGGGCTTGGATAATGAACTTCTTGAGACATTCTCTCTGGTTCTAAGTCCATGCTCACCAAGCAACCTCCAAGAACCATTACAGCTTTGCAAGCATCCTGACAATGGGAACTGAGTCTTGTGATATGGGACACTGCGGGATGGCTTCCATCATCAATGAAAGTTGGCATGAAGCATAGCAGTGGTCTCTGGTGGGCTTCCTCAGTGGGAGTAGGTGGAGCATCCTGGAGTGCCCATGTGTTTCTGCACTTGCAGAACTGAAGGCCACCCAGGAAAGTGGTTTCTGCACCCGGGTCAGGCTGTGCTGGGTCCCTCCTTGAGCAGCCAGCCAGCCAGCCAGCCTCCTACATCTGGCTAGCCCTCTCAAATGGCAGCATATGGTTAATTGGAACATGAGCTTCATTGCCTGCGATGGGGTTGCTCAGCAAGTTTCCAACTGGTCTGTTCCTGAGTGGGAACCATGACTCCAGGAAGCAGCAGATGGCCCTGGGAAGAAAGCCAGGAGACCCCACAGTATTTCAAGGCGGGGGAGGGGCACAGAGCCATCTAGCATCATCCCCAGAAACCCTGCTCAAAACAACAGCAGTGATGTAGCTTTTATAAACAGTAACCTCATTCATAAAAGCAAACCTGGTCACTGGAAGTATGATAAACCTGGAGGATGGATAATACATGGAGTATTATTACACGCCATAGAATAGAAAGGAACCACAGCTCCACACAATAAGGACAAATCAAGAAGCATAAAGAGCAACAAAACAAGTTACAGAACATGAGACCATTTTAGAAAGTGTGAAACCAGAGTCATAGGGTTACATATTAGACTTATATTACAACAGGTGGCAGGAAGTGAGTTTGGTGATAAAACTACTTAAAAAAGAAAATAAGGGTGTAATAAACACAAAAATTAGCTCATGGTAAACTCTGAGATGGTCCGTTGATTTCCTGGTGTTCATTTTATTATATATATAGGCACCTCTTGATCATATGCGTTTTTACATGTGTCAAATATTTCATAGTTAAAGACATGCAAAGGCACTATAACTATCATTACCCAAGCACGAGCACTGTGGCTGGTTTTCCGTTTTGTCCAAGCATTGCTCTAGTGCCTGCCCACAGGCCTAGCCTGCATGGCTCACACCTGCCTGGGGCTCTGGGAGTCTCTGGCTCAGGCAGCCGGATGACAGAGCTGCTGCCCAGCATGGGGAGGTCAAAGGTTAGCAGTGACTGTTCTGTTAGCACTCTTGTCACTTCCTCTCTGGATTTCCCTCTCCCCCTTAAACCTGACCCATATGCTTGAGCAAGCTGATTTCCACTTTGCCATGAGCCCATCTGCCTGGAGTGCAACCCCAGCCCCACCACCTTCCTTCTACTTGTTCATCCAGTCAACGAGTATTTACTGAGCACCTACTATGAGCCAAGTGCCATTCTCAGTGCTGGGGATGCAGCAGGGAACAAGGCCACACAGAAGTCCCTGCCCTCACGGAGCTTACATTCTCGTGAGAGAGATAGACTAACATTAAATTAATAAATACAAATCAGGCGGTGACAAGCAGAAGCCTACAGCTGAGTGCGGGGACAGAGGGTGGAGGGAAGGGCAGGGAGCAGGTTTGGCTTGGGTGGTCGGGAAGTTCTCTCTGCGAGGGTGACCTGGGTCAGAGACCTGAAGAAAGGGAGGGTACAATGTGGATATGTGGGGAAGGGTCTTCCAGGCTGAGGGAGGCACAAGGGCAAAGGCCTGGCCCCTGCTCTCACTCGATCTCTTTCTTTTCCTGGAGCCCCTTCCGGCCCCACTTCTACCCCAACCCCCAACTCCCCGCTTCCACTCCCTCCCCCCACACCCTACCTCCACAGCCTGCCATCCCTCTCAAGCCCTCGCCCCTCTGCTCACCTCTGCCCTATTTTAGTTGTACAGGGGCCCAGGCTTTTGGGGGAAGAAGGCTGGGAGGTCTTTTTAGACCTCAGAAGCTCCCCCATTCACAATGACCTTTGCTCTGATCCTACAGCCCGTCTCCGTGGCTCTTGGCAGTCTGCTCTCCTCAGGGAATGATCTTGGAGTCAGACTTCCTGAGCCATCTTCCAATTAGCTTCTTCCCTGCCCGGCATCGCAAGGCCTCAAGGCTGCATTCAGCCTACAGGCTGTGATTTTTCACACCCTTGTCAAATCTATAACACCAATGCCTGGAAAAAAGATGTTGGCTTAATTACTGTTATTAGCATGAATGACTTTCTACTTCTTAGTTTCCTTGAGGGCCGCCTGCAGGTAAACTTACCTGGAAAACTATCTGGGGACTGGACGGTCTCCTCCTGTGATCACCTGTTTGTCTCCAGGGTTGCTGTGGCAGCTGTCAGAGTAGCTGGGGCAGTGTGTGAGGACTGAAACATCGCAGATGTGAGAGTGAGCCCAGAAATCAAGGAGCCCAGTTCTTGGGCTCCACACCGTGAAGACTAGGTCAGGATGACAATGTTTGTCAGTTTCTGCTTCCAAGGCCCATATCCCAGCAACCTCAGTGCTCAAGCAGATGTTCTGAAAGATACTCTGGTGGATGCTGGCCACTTCCAGGGCAGACTACCATGAAGGTGGAAGCCTCAAATGTAATCAGTTATTACCATCGTGTTAAATCCTGAAGGAAAACATTTACAGGCTCTTTCTAGACTTTGGGGATCTCCAGCCTCATTCATTCATTCACTCATTCATTCTTTCACTCAAGTTCCTACACTGTGCCAGACTCCACGCTGGGTGCAAGGGGTACAGAGATACAGGATGACAGGTCAC